CCTGGTTGGAGACACCTCGTTCATGTATCCTGCAGATCTTTCGTAGCTGCATGGCCACTGTAGAGGTGAGCACCTGCATGGTAGCCTGAGTGACGCCGACCCCCGTAAGGCCATAGAGGATCGTGGGGATGACGCATGTCCGATACACCTGCAGTCTTCTACCTGCGCCGAGAGCACCGTTCACCCTCAACACTGAGGAGAGCTGAGAGAAGGTGGCCTTCGCCTGTTGCGCCCTGTAGATCGCCGTCTGCGCCTCGAAGCGGCCGTAGCTAAGCTTGGCTCCCAAGTAGATCATGTTGTCGGCAACTGGTATGTAGATGCTACTGTTGTTCAGCGGTACGATGATGCATCGTTGACCATTCCACTGTTTGATCTTGTGATGCTGGATTCGCTGCCACTACTCCCCCTTCATTGAGATAACCACCACCGACTTGCCCAGGTTTACAGTCATCCCGCAGCTCTGTATGACCTCAATCATCTTTCCTAGGTGTGTCAACGCAGTGTGGAGTTCCCGTTCCGAGCTCACCTCCCAGCAGGAATGTTTGTCGTCTGCGTATATGGTTAGGTGGCTATGTGACCAGTTAGCAGCAATAGCACCATCAAGTTTGCGGCACAGTTTTGCAGTCCAGGCTGCGTACACCATTGGAGCAACGGGGCATCCTTGGCGCAGTCCTCGCCCCACGGTGAGCATGCGCGTGCATCCCTTGTGTCGTATTGTGACCTCTGTACGAACATGTACATGAAGAATTATCCTGGCCAGCTCTTCGGGCATGCCAGTCTCCCTGAGCGAACAGAAAATCTCTTCCTGTGACAATGAATCGAAGGCCTTGGAAAGATCAATGCTGGCCATCATGCCTCCGATGAGATCTTTCGGGGCTTGCTCCAGCACGCGCGCCGTCACATCGTCCACCTGGTTCGCCAGATTTTGTCTGACACGAGAACAATGATCGCTGGCACGAAGCAGCGCGTCTGTTGTGGAGGCGTGCTGTCTGTAGGCGAATTGTGGTACTGCTGCCAGAGCATTCTGCACAAACGGATTAGCATGATCTTTAAGGATGAGGAGGAAGGCTTTAGAGTCGGGGCCTAACAACCCTATGGTTCTCAACCCTGAGGGGGACGAGGTGGCCTTTCCGGGTTTTGGTAGCCAAGCAAGCTCGCCCACTCCTGTGGCAGCACAGGATTAGGGCTCGCCACTGTGCGTCCAACAACCTGCGACATGGCCTCGGAGACCTCTTCACTGACCGACTTCCAACCCTGAACCGAAGCTTCACTAAGTGGAACCGCCTTGTGATTAGCCAGTTTACCGAATGCGCGTTGCCAAGCTGGAGCACTGAACCACTCTGGTGGGAGGGGCAGCATTGGGGGAGGGCTCCAAGTTTCAGCCGAGAAAAGTGTTTCTGCATATGCAAGCAAAGCATCTGCCTCCTCAGCAGGACTCATCAGCCCTCCATCGGCTGATCGTAGGCATATGCGTCTGCGGAAGCTCTTCGGGGCGAGCATACGAATGAACCTGTACTGAGTTCTGGTGTCATGCCGTATAGCAGCTTGCTCGGCTTGCTGCAGGATCTCAAGTGTCTGCTGCCGTTTCCTCTGCCTTGCGAGCTTACGAAGTTCGCGATGTCGTTGCTTCTGCTCGATAAGAGCTCTAGAGGCCCTGAAAGCATGTAGCATTTGAGTACGCGGTTGCCGCTCTATGTTGTTAGCCTGCCAAAGCCGTTTGACCTCGGTGTCAACCTGACTACGTTCGGGCCTACGAAGGTAGGGAGTGATAGGAGGGGCCTGGGCTTTAACCGCTCTCTGGATGTCGCAGAGTGCCGGGGCACCCCTCGAAAGAACTTGCGTAAGTCCAGGCCCTTCAGTCCCTTGATCCTTACCAGGTTTGGGCAGGGTCCACGGGGTCCACCGTAGAGGAATGCTGCATGAAACTCTATCATGTCCTGCTGAGCGCCAGCCTGCAATGGGTGCCTTGATGGTTCCGCTGCTTTTGGCGATCCTATCTGCTAATTGACGACGAACACAGGTGAAATCAATCTGTGAGCAGCCACTGGGGTGTTTGTATGTAAACTGCTTCTTACCCCATGTGTTAAGTGCACAGAGTCTATGCTTTGTGAGCATATCCACAACCCCCTGCCTTTCCGATGCCAGATTCGCGTGAGCAGAACCCAGGTGCACGCCATGGCCAACTGTACCCCAGGATGGTGCTAGCGAGGCATTGAAGTCGCCCATCAATATCAAGGATGATCTGAAGGGCAGGGCCGAAACTGTGCGATCAACTGCTTGCCAAACTTGCTGTCTCCTTTGCATGACCGCTTGCTTTTGTTCATCATTCTTGAAAGACAAGGCATGCTGATACAGGATGACCACGTCCAGCTGTTGTTGTCCCATGTATCCTCGCCAGTGCAGAATCCTACCTGGGATGACTTCAGCCCAGGTGGCATCTTGAGTCGAGGCCACGTCTGAGCGAATGCCGAAAAGTAGACCCGCTTGGCGCCCTTTGTCGGCAGCGCTGTGAACAAGATTCCAACCCTCTTGGCTCCACTCCCTTGTGCTAGACCAGTGCGTCTCTTGCAGCGCAAACAGCTTAATGTCCGGGCGCGTGCGCAACCAAACAAACCACTCCATGAGGAGCTCACTGGAGAGCCCGCTGCAGTTCCAAGTGATGCAGTTGAGTCGCGGCTGTGTCCGCTGGTCCTTAGGTGTCGTGACCGGTGTCTTCGGCACAGGATACGCAGGTCTCACGGTCTCACGCGCAGAATCCGTCCTTTATATGGCGCGGTGCCTGTTTGCTGCGCCCGCTTCAGTGCTCGTCTGAAAGACCTTTTTCGTACTCGATTGGCCCTAGCCTGTGTCGGCTCTAATGCCTCATCGTTCACCCCAATGTACATTGAGGCTACAGCGGCGCCTGAGGCTGCAACCGCTACCCTCGCGCCAACCAGATCTTCGGCACATTGAATGTTCATACGTCTATCTGGTACCCGGACTTGGGACCGGGGCGAGCGCGTGCATGCACTCAAGGTGTGCGTCTGTGGACCGCGATCATGAGCACCCTTCGTCGTACATGCTGCCGGGGTCGTAGAGAGAAAGTTCAGGCTTAATTGGTGCATGTGCTGTTCGCCAAAATGGCGTTCGTAGCAATGGCGAATTCGTTTGGATAGTTGCTCGATGCAAACTTCAAGAAGCGCTCCAGATGTACCGGCGGCAGTATGAAGGAAGCTTCTGCAATCAGCTCAGTCAGCGTTGTCTGATGCCACAGTTGCTCAGCAAGCCTTACGGCCCACTTAAGCGTGGAGTCTGTCTGACCCTGCAAGCAGAATTCTATTTCCTCCAGAAGCCAGGCTCTGAGATGCACCAAGTGGTCGATTGCCATGCATATATCTCTACGCCCGGCGCGTTTGAGCCGCTCGTGGCGCTTTGCTGCTGCTGCTGCTGCT